CTTCCTAGATCTTTCCTTTGTTTCCTTTTACCTTCCTTCTGCCCCACCATCATGCTCACCCTTCTTCTGCCTCTTAGTAATTCCTCTCAGCTAGATTGCTGTTGCTTCAACACTACCGGAATCTATACTGCCTCCTCATTGTTGCTTTAATTCCCTAGTTATTCCCCTGTCTATGGTGCTGTTTGCTTACCACTCCTTTCCCCCTGCCACCTCCTTCCCCCAGGTCCCTCTGGAATGGTTGGTCCAATTACTTTCTCCTACAGTTTGCTTCCCATGCCTATCTTATATTGGTAGGCAAAACAATAACACAGACAAAATAATAAGAAAACAAAAGATTGAATAAAAAGACAAAAGAAAGAAAACTAGCACATAACAAACTCCTCCTCCCCCAAAATACATAATTCCAGGTCTGCCCACTGACCTTTCTGATTATCTCCCCACTGGTCCTGGGGGATCCTGGGAACTGCCCCTCCTAGCCTGAAGTCAATTTTGTGGGGCTCCTCAGGGTTTTGTGGCTTTGCTTTGTTCCTGTTGATGATCTGTTATGTTCCCTTCTTGGTTCAACTCATTGTGAGGGTGGTCAGATGGAAATCACTCCCCGCTGTGTGTCCCCAGTATTGTCCTCTGTTAAGGTATACTCCAGTGAGGAGACATCATTTTTCGAGCTGTTGTCATCCCTACAGTTCTCTCTGTGCCTTAGCAGCTCAGTGCAGGGCCTACATCCTCAGAGCTTGGTGTGCCAGTATGGGGTCTAGACCCTCACTTTCTATTTTTCGTTCTTGGTTTGCTTCTGACGGGTGTGGCAGGTTGCCTGCTCTCCCCAACCTGTAGGCTTAGTGTTGTCCTCTGTAGCACATACTTCTAGGGCAGTGGTTCTCAACCTTCCTAATGTCGCAACCCTATAACGCCTGAATTTTTAATTTCAGGAAAAAAATTTGTTTTTATTCTTTACTTTCATAGTTATCAATATATATTGAGATATACATTTAATTAAATGTTACGAAAACATCGCACTCAGCGTTATAGGGTTAATACAGTTCCTCATGTTGTGGTGACCCCCAACCATAAAATTATTTTCGTTGCTACTTCATAGCTGTAATTTTGCTACTGTTA